TTCATTGCCATTATTCTAGATTAGACCCTTTCTATCACCTATACCAGTGTTTTTCTAACTTATTAAAACTATCTTATGATGAGAGAAATATTTCATATGTTGATCCAATACAAATATACACATACATGTGCTTATAACTGAGACTGTATCTTCATAAAATAATACTTAACTCTTCCAAGAGCAATTTATCCTGATATTGTTTAAAACCTTTGGTTATATCTCTCACTGAACTCATTTCATGATTCACTGGTGGGTCACAACCTGCAGTATGAATAACTGACAACTGCAAATGTTTCTTACTGCCTCCACATCCTCCTGGCTCCTGTCCTTTCTATTCATTTCCACCAGATTAAATATTTTTAAAGCTCCATTCTAATTATGTTAGATGCTTCCTATACAGCATTCCTTATGTGTTAGCCCAGTGTTTCAAGCTCTACCAAACCTAGGCCTAGCATAAAAATACCCCAACATATTATTTCAATTAAAGACAAACTGAACCACAAATACAACTTGTGATCTCCTGATTCTTTTCAGACTGAATTCTCTGTCTCCTAGTTTCCTGACAGGTCTATGAAAATCCTATTCCACTCATTCATTCAGTATATATTTAGGGAGCAGTTTTATGTTCTAGGCACAGAGGGAGGTAAGTGGTTCCTGCACTCACAGAGCTTACAGTATGGCACCAACCACGTAAAAGTACTGACCAATGTGGAAACAGTTACAAAATGGTATTATTGGATTATATACTAGAAAGAGCTTACCTAACAGGATCGGGCAACTCTTTCAAACAAAAAGCCATTTAATCCAAGTACCAAAAGATAAAAAGGAGCTAGCAGGTGAAAAAGGAGAGTAAAGAGTTCTTAGGTGGGGAAACAGCATTCTGAGGGCTGTAAAGAGAGAAACAAACAAATCTCAAAGAAGTGGAATATGACCAGTTTAGTTGTAGCAGAGAGAATACAAGGCAAAGAGGCCTATGAGCTGGAGACAAAGGGAAAAGCAGATTGTGGATGGCATTATATCAGAGGTCCAACGGCAGTACAGCAAGTACTTATCAGATGCCTGCTAAATACCGGGTAACTGAATATTTAAGGATATTTAAGGCATGTTTCCTTGTCCTTCAGGAACTCATTCTTCTGTGAAGACTGATAGGTAAACCCAGAGAAAGAATTATTAACCTTTTCTGGCAGTTTGAGAAAAGCTTCCTAGAGGAAGTAATGCCTGAGCAGGGACTTAAAAATTGAATATGAGTTCCCAAGCTGACAATGGCTTATCAGACAAGGGACCAGCATGTGCAAAATTAAAAGGACATGAAAAAAAAAAGCATGACTTTTCCATGAAAGCTCTTATTGATAGCCCAGAGAAGAAAGTGTTCTCATGTTCCTAAGAATTTAGGGTCCCTGCAACATAATGGAGTTAGGTTACAGGATAAAAAGGTACTTAAATAAAAAGGCTGTATCTTCCTTTTTTTTGAATCGCCTAAGGAGCTTATCACAGTGTTTTGCTTATAGAAGACACTCAATATCAGTAAATATATATTTGTAGAATAAATGAATAACTATTTTATTGAATTAAAATTAACGAAGTTATCCCTTATGTACAGAAGGAAGAGAAGAAAGATGCCTTACCATACTTTTCAGGAGCAGGGAATCACCTAAGTAGGAAGGGCTGCATAGTAAAATCCCTTGACTCCAAAAGTTTAAATGGGAGGGGAAGGGCTCCAAATCAAGGGACCTGGGCCTCCCTTGTAAAAGAAGGCAGCAAAATGGCAAGAATGACGCGACACATAAAGTAGTCACCATTAAAAATGTGTTAGGTTGAAAAAATTTGTTATTTTTTAAAAAACTAACTACAAATATTGAGACAATCAAGGATTTGGCAGAGTTGATACCACTTCAAGCAGAGAACAGAGAATTTAATAGTTCATCTTTTTTTTTACCTTCCCTATCTGAGCCTTCAGTTTTCAGAAATCATTTAAATAAACTTCAGAATGTTCTTGCAGACATTACTAAACTCTGTCCATACCAATGAATTCCAATGACATCATTGTTTCCATGGTAACTAATGTATTTCAAAAGGGGAAAAAACAGAGAGCAGAACTAAAAACCAGGAAAAAAATGGAATGAAGTGGTAAACAAAGCATAACATTCTGCTTTGCATTTATGGGACACTTTCTAATTTCAAATGCTTTACCATTACTTAGACTCCAAGGCTCTTAAGTGCCAGAGGACCTCAGAGGTCATCAAATCCACATCCCATACATAGCTGGGATTCCCTTTACACTGTAGCTAAATGTAAATTGCTTTTTTTCAACTGCTCATAGAGCTCATTCACTTGCACAGATTACTGGGCACCTATTCTGTTCTGCAGGTTTAAGAGATGACTAAGGCATTCCACCCCCTTTCAAAATTTTTGCTGTTTAGAGGGCAAATAATTCAAACATGGGGGTGAGAAAGAGGGCTACAGTAAAAGATACAGGATGATGTCAAAAAAGCCAACTGGGGATTATGCATTTCCAATGACTTTTGTTTCTGCTTCACTTTAGCCCCACACACCCATGACCAACCACATCCTGGACCTTATCATGACCCAGAACAGTTCAAACTTTGCAAACTTAAACTCCAACACTAAGTTGTTGATAATGAACAGGTCTTCCACTCTTTAACTAATCCTGCACTACTCCTATGAGCTTTAATGCAGCCCAAAATAATTCACTTGCAATACTTCCTCACAATGCTGGTATCCTCAACTTTTATCCTTCAGCGGCACCCACCTAGCAATAGCCTAACCTGGATCTCATGACAATCCCTCTTCCCGCTGTTGAGTGCCATAAGGATTCTCTGTCCTACCCTTTGTCCTACAGAAAAATCTGTCAGAACAGTTATGAGACTGCCACTCCACTTACAGGGCAGTATGTCTCAAGTGCTATAGGTAAGTGAGATAAGTGAATAATTTCATAAGGACTGAAAGGTATATATACTGAATTTGGCAACTAAGGTCATTAGACCCCCAAACAGTAAAGTGCATATAGGACTTACTCATAGCCATAGTCACCTCAAGTGACACCATCAGTTGAAATGGCCTCTTGGTATAAAAAATGATAATTTACAGTGGGGGAGGGAAGAATAAGGAAAAGGTTTTGTCTTTTGCTCATTTTAAAACTTTTCCCTTAAGGATTTCATGATGCTTTTGAGTGAGCTGAACATATGTCTGCACCCTCATCTTGCAGAATGAGAAGTTAAGCATTCACTTAAATGCTGACAAAATGGCTATTATCCTGACCTTGAAGTGGCAGTAACAAATCACTGACCCTGCCATCTAATTTCTGTCAGAAAGGATTATGGATTACTTTTTCTCATAATTGTTGTTAGATAGTGCTCTCCAGCTTTTTGCTGATTTATATTTTAAAACCACATATAAGTACTTTATTTAGTTATCTGGGTAGGCATTTCTTGTACCTAGTTTACCCTGGAGGACATAATAGGAAGTTACACTGTTCAAACTTTACTGAAACAATTTTCTATCTGAGGCAGGCATTTTGTCAGCATTGCTTTAAAATTTTTCCAAGCCAAAATTCACAACATTGAATACCATGGGGATGCTATCACTCATCTATCCACATATAAAAACTGGCCCTAGAACACACTCTCATCACAATTTTACTACTGCTAGTGAGAACACCTCAGATCATCAGGAAGGCAGGCACACAGACATCATCCTTATCAGGTTCAGTTCTCCTGGGAGCATGTTGATCCAATCCAGGGCTCACAGCTACTGATGCACACAGCTCTATACTGACTGGCAAGGGAGAAGAGGTGCTTGTAGAAGAGGATCATCTCAGCTCTGCTATTCTACCATTTATACTTTTCAGAAGTTCCCCTGAGACAAAAACATTTATAAAAGCTTCCTGAAGAGTCCATTCATTCTAATATACCAATGGATCCTACAGTGTGTCACAGTCTCATTGAAGAATTTAGTAAAAGTTTTGAATTCTCCCCATACCAAAACAAACACAAAATGAACATATAATCTGGGCAGTGGAGGGTGAGGGAGAGAGAATCATGAGGCCCCTGAAGCTAATCCACTGGCTGAAAACTAAAATGCTCTGCTCTGTAAGGGCTAAAATCTGTCCCTGACTTAAGCAAGGTCACTGGAGAGCCATATAGATGGAAGAATCACCTAGGCTTTGTACTGAAATACTTATTCTAAACTGTCCTCTGGCACAAGTCCTCTTGCTTTTGCTTAGGCACACTAGTAGGATGAACTCTCTGTGCTAAAGATGGTGCTCTCTCGAGTGCACTCATTATACACAGGGTTTCTTTTTTCTGAGAGCCTAGGGGAGACACTTTTGCCTCTCTAGTCTCCACTTTTCTTCTCTTGAGCATCAATCTATTGTTTTTCAACCTTGTGGAATGGATAGTTTTATAATGGTCCTGTGTTTCTTTCCCATTCCTTCTAGAAAATTCATGGCATACTTCAAACATGTATTTAAGTCCCTTGATGGCATATAATTTATTTACAGATTCACTTCTGGATCCATTTGATTTTAATTGTCATTTGTCTTATTTTTATTATATTGTCAGATTGTATAGAAAATTCTTACTCTTTAGAAGACAGTGAACTATAAATGAGCTTAGCTGTAAGGGACCAAAGGAAAAAAGTCATCTTTTTCACCAATTTTCCCATTGGTGACCTATTCAAGTGTATCTACCTAAACACTCTTGTTATTTTTTTTGTCAGTGTTAGCTGCAAGTATTTGAGAGAGGTAGTATATGCTCAGAAAACTTACACCTGAAGGATGTTTAGAATTTTTCTTGATTAATATGACATGTATACATGTTTGCACATGTGTATGTGTTTTTAAAGTAACCATAAAGATGAAGGGTTTTCATACAGATTTCTGCATAGAACTGAATTAAAATTTGGATTGTATTTCTCAATAACTTGCTTCTGCATTTAGAAGCATCTCATATTTTCACAACAGTGAAGCTGTAAATGCTTACAGGCACATGGAGTTTTCGAAACATCTCAGCACCCTTGTGTGCATCCATCAGTGCAATGTCCTGGGGCGTGGAGACAATCACAGCACCTAACCAAAGAAAAGCAAAAAAAAGGGAGCAAAATGATGCCATCATTTAATTTTTTATGGAATGATTACTTCCAAAATTATGTTGTTTACACTCTAAAAACATCTACCACATAAACTGTTCAGGTAATGCATACACATTTTACATACATGAATGGGAAGGACGAGGAAATGTCTACTTTGCTCTTGCCTATTTTTGACTCTTCACTTCTAAAATTACAAATGACTGACCAGTGACTCAAGACCACAGCTGTGTCATCAGAACCTTCTTCCCATTCAGAAAATGTGCTAGTTAGAAGATGCATGTGGCAGGCTTAACATTTAAGAAGCTAATAGCCACTTGGGGAGACCAAAAATTAAGGATTACAACACAGTGTACTAAGCATTGTACCAGAGGTATACCTAAGGTATTATGGAGTCAAAAAGAAGGAATAAAGGAAAGATAAATAATTCAATCTAGGGGAGAGGATGGTAAAGATGATAATGAATGGGGTGAGGAAGCAGGACATAAGGAGAAGCAGTAGGGGAAAGTTGCCAGAAAGAGGTGATTACTAGGATAAGTCCTAAAAATTTGTGTCATAGAAAAGTTGCTAGTGTGTAACATACTATGGAGAATAGTTTGGTGGGGGTAAAACTAGGGCTTTTGTCAGAAATTCAGATGCAAAATAGTGGTGGCCTGAACTAAAGCAGCACTGAAAGCAGGTGAAGATGGACACTTTCCTGGGTCTCCACTATTATCCTGCAGAAACTAGATGGTTCTATGATAAAGTGTTTTGAGAGGCAAGTGCAGTGTAATTTTTTCCCTAGTGGAAACACGAGGCCTGGTTATAAATTAGAGAGTCTGTGAATTTCTTAAATTCTGTAGGTTTTCCTAGATGACAACTTGAAAAATAATTAACATAAACATATTTCAATCACCTGGATGACCATCCTCTTATAACTAAATACACTGCCATGACATTTCAGAGCCCTAAACTATCAAACTGGCACCAAGTGGCAGTACTTCATCACAGCTTATGAAAACAGACATATGTAGGATTAACAATGAGTAACCAATTGCAAGTGAAGGTCAAATGACACTACAAAGTATTACCTGAAGGGCTATTCTGAAAAAGTTAGAATAGAGAAAAGCATCAGTGGAACAGAGTTATCAAAAAGCACACGGCAATACAGGCATGCCAGAGTCAAAAGAACTGTGAAATAACAGCTACAGATTCAGCCTGCAATTGGTATTTTCATTTCAGCAAAAAACTTCATCTTTCACATTATTAATGTCATTAATTTTTAATCTACTCATTTTTCTAAGTTTTGCTTGTATTTAATTTATAATTTTTTTAAGTCTTTAAGAAGTATATAATAGGTATAAGCTTAAGGGATTTATGTGTAAACCTAGTTAAATAGTCTTATACTAAAAATAAATAAATATCATGTATGGGGCATTAATTTTTCCTTTAGAAGGAGAGTCTATTCATTACTCAGGTTTGAGAAACACTAGCTTTAGAATTCAAAAAGAACCAGAATTCAGAGTTTTATTTCATTGCCAACTGCCTGTGTGACTAGGATAATAACTTAATCACTCTGGATTCAGTGTAGTCACCTACAAAGTGGCAGAGTAATACTTAAGTCACATGGTGCAATAATTAAATGAATTAACGTACGTAAGTTCTTTATGTACATTATGAAATCGTTGTCTAGACACGATGCTTGGACACAGAATAAACAGTCAATAAATGTAGCCGCTGTTGTTAATAATATCATCATCATTATTATCTTTATTCTTCTTATTAATCAAATGTCTTAGCAGTTGCTGGGAACTCCTAAGTCATTTTCCTATTTGCCATTCGGCAGTTCACCCTACTTTTCAAACTGGATCACCACATTCTTCTCTTTTTATTTACTTGGCCCCAAAAGCCAAAACTAGTTAACAGTTCTCTTTGCCCTCTTTTGATGGAAATCGTATCTCTACAAAAATTATACTCAACTCTATTCTATGCATCCAATATAGTTCTGTAGTTTGCCACCTTCTATATTCTGTTATCACTATTGCACTGCTTTTTCATATCCAGGTGTTTGGATCCAGTTCTGCCCACACTGAACTGTACGGTTAACCTTGGGCAAATAACTCAGAATTACTTTAGGTCTCACTTTCCTTAGCTGTAAAATTAGTGTGAGGACTTTGTCTCCGAGGTCT